CCTGGGCGAAATGTGGAGTTAAAAATCTACCCAAAGTAGTTCAAAATCCCTGCCGGTGCTACAGAGTTCACGCACTGTGCTGAGATTCTTCAGACTCAGGCTTGAGTTAGAACTAAAATGTAGCATTTATGGGTTACTACCCTTGTGCCATGATGTTGATCTGTTGTTTAGCCTGGCTCTCTAGCGTAGTTGGCTAAACCGGATTGCGCGAAGAGCAGGTGACGAACTCCTTGTGGTCCGGGTTCAATCCCGGGGGCAGGCAGGAAAGCCACATTTTCTCCCAGATTTACGGTATTTACAATGGAATCAAGGCCGAAAGGTTGTGATATCCATAATACCGAGCCTAAGGGTTAACAACTCATAGCTTCTGGATACTAAAACAAACTGTTGTTTAAACCTACAGGGTTTTGTCTGATGGTGCCTGCTATTTTTGATCTGATGTTGGACAGAGATCACTCTCCATATCAAGCTGGCAATCCTGTTGTGTTTTCATGAATGTTAAAGCTGAACATTTGGATTATTACAAGGACAGCTGCGCTCATTTTAAAAATTGCTGAGTGTTGCATGCACATCCGCCTTTTTTGTATGCAGACTGTTGGTTCCTTGCCTCTCAGGCAGATGCGCTCTGACTTCAAAGGAGACCCTCAGCTAGCTGACACTCAAGATATGCTTGTTGGGGAGGCAGTGGGTCTATTCTTGTTTTCCCCACACTTGGGCCCAAACCCAGATGATGCATGGGCAGTAATTGTGTCGTCTGTGCAATATGAAGAGGGGAAACTTTATCCTTGGTCCTGGTATTTACCATGGGTTGTGACTTTCCCATTCTTCCTTCTAGCACTGTCATCTGGAAAGATGCTGACTGGTTTAGCAGACTAAAAGCAAAAAACAAGTTTTGGCAGTGCCCAAGTTGTTTCTCAGACTATGTCAAGTTAGCATCTTTTTGTGCGTGTGTGTCACAAGGTGACAAGAGCTCAAACTGGGAATCTTGGTTACGGCTGGCAACTGTGCAATTAGTGGCTTGAACTTTAAACATAACAAATGTGTAAATGTTTAATTTGACTTCTGTCAACATTTAGACTTTGACAACATCACAGAACTTGACTGAAGAGATGAAAACAGTGGTCTATGGACAAGTGACTCAGGTGGGTGTTCTTGATAATTTAGTGTGTGGACACCCCCCCCCCCCCCAATAAATATTATCTGTAATGAAATTTGAATATTTTTTTTTAAACAGTGATGTCTTTTATGCATCGTGTTCTGGGAGCTGAAATATTTTAGTCATATCAAGTGACGTGGTGAACTGAAAAAAAAAAAAATAACAACAGCAGAAGGCATGGTACCAGGAAGGAGGGGCAGGGGCCAACTAACACAAAGATGAGCACAGTGTGTGTGATTCCTTGAATATGAAAGTACATGAGGTGGGAGAGCTGGCGAGAGACCAAGTTTCATAGAGGCAGACCATGTTAAGAGCGACGTTCTGCAAAGAGCCTGCTATATGATCTAGGGAGAAACATGGGTGTCTTGCTAAAAGCTAAATTTTCAACAGCCAGGATTTTTGTGCAATTCATGAGGAGAAATTAACTTCAGACCAATATCAGCTGGCAAAACTGTAACGGAAGAGGTGAACAAACCAGTGTCAGTTGGCAAACCTATGTTAGAAGTAGAAACAAACCAGTGTGAACTGGCAAACCTATAATTAAAAAAAGGTAGTGAAAAAAACAGCGTCAGCTGACAAACCTGTATTGGAAGAAAGGTAGTGAACAAACCAATAACTGGCAAACCTATAAATGAAGAAAGGCATGTGTGATGCTTAGTAACATGATAATTTATACTTTATGAGTTTCACCTGCAGAATGATTTTACTGCTCTTGTATGATGTGGGCATTTAGAATATATGAGCAAAAGCCAAGAACACTAAGCAGTCAAAGTCTGGGATCGCTCTGCTGCATGCAGAGTACAAGTCTGAAGTTGTCTTCTGCCTTTTTATCCCCCAATGGAGCATAGGCCCTCAACCAACTCACGCCAAGTCATTCTATCCTTCGCCATTACATGGAGCTCTCCCCATCTTTCTAACTTCATTTTCCAGCTCTCTTCTCCATGTTTTTTTTTTTGGCCTTCCTTTATTCCTATGCCCCTGTGGGTTCCAAAGCAAAGACATTCTAGTTATGCTGTTCTCTCTGTGTCCTATCCAACGCCAGCATCTTTTTCTTCACCTCTTGGTCCACTGGAGCCTGTTTAGTTCTCTCCCAAAGCTCTACATTAGTTATTCTATACCATTTAATTCCCTCTATTCTGCGCAGGCACCAGTTAATGAATGTAATTTATTAGTAGTTGCCTTAGTTGTTCTCCATGTTTCCGCCCCATACAAAAGTACTGATTTGACAGAATTTAAAATTTTTAATTTAGTCTTTCTTTTGACCTCCACAAATTCTCTAGTGCTATGAAAGCTCCTTTTGCCTTTTGTATTCTTATTTTAATATCTCTATCAGTTCCTCCATCTTTATCTACATTACGGCCCAAATAGGTGTACGACTCCACGTCTTGGAGTGGAGTGCCATAAGAGAAATCACATCACTATTTGCCTGATTTATTCTCATTATCTTTGTCTTTCCTTCATGGTCGGTTGGTTTTTGTGGCTGTTTTTGCAGGATGAGGTAACCAACCTCAAGCCCAACCCTACCCTTAGTCGCCTCTTAAGACATACCTGGTAGGGTGCAGTGTCACTATTCTTTGCTTCTCGTGGGGGGCCCAGTGACACATGGGCGAAGTCTGAAGTACATGTTTAGTATTCTGTGGTGCCTGTCAACAGTTATGAATCCCCCCAATCTTAAATTTCTTGTACAGATGGCTGCAGAATGGGGTGCTTATATCTTGTTGTTTTCTTCTTCCAGATAATCAATCTTGAAAAGAGAAGATGCGGTATGGCCTTGTAGCTATGATGCTGTGGTTCTGCTATTATCTTTTCAACCACAGAGCCACAATGTGAAGTAGACGACACCCCCCAATAATGGCATCAAAATCAGCAGCCAGACACTAGTGTGATTTACAGCATCCAGATGTGTTCTATGTTCTATAACTCAGATAAATATGCAGTCATGATCCATCCACTCTTTGAATCTGGGGATCTGGCAGACGCTCAACACTCAAGGGAAAGGGCGAGACAGGTATACAATCATGACAGTTACTAGTGCCATCGAAATAAGAACTCTTCATTTGCTGCTGAAGATGAGGACTGAGTGCTTATGGAAGTGTCCCGAGTGCTGTTGATTCTTAATTCAACAGCTCCACCCTGTGAGCTTAAACGTTTTTATTCACTGGGCTGTTTAACCGAGAATGTAAATTAATGTATACAGATGAATGCCACATACACACTTTGCAGCGTATAGACATTTCTACATTTAAATTGTTTGCTCATACCCTGTCAGAACAGTGAAAATTTCAACATATTTGTTAGCCACAGAGGAAAGTGGAGACTTGTCAACACTGAACTGGTGGAAAAACACTGAGAGGCAGACGATATAAGGGGTAGAATAACTTCCAAATAAATGAAGCAGCAGTCTCAGAGAGAGTACAACCAGAATGAGATATAGTGAGATGGAGATTGCCACTTCATGGCGGAGACAGCGGCTAGCTGTCCGCAGTCGGTGCACAGTAATGAGTGAAATTATTGAAACTGCACATAAGAATATCTTAGGGTTCAACCAATCGACATGTTTTTAATATCTGGGTCATGATTAGTTTTTAAGTGCACTGGCTTTGCTGTTAACTTATTAAAAATACACCATCGGAAGATCCTGTATTTTTTGTTGTTTTTAAAGCGGATGTGTCTTGTGTGTAAGAAGCATGGCAATACAATATTTATGTAACATCTGTAAAAGGGTCCCTTTAAGCTTATATATAGGGCTAGAGCTATATTTTTATAGACCAATTGACACTTGGTGGGTGCTGTGGTCAGCATCACCTTGGCGGCTGCCTTTACTTCAGGCGGTATCTGTGGTCGCCCTTGAACAGTCAATTACAGTCGAGTCCACTTAAGTCAAATTTCGGTTAAGTCGACATGACCAGCTTAGTCCCAGCTTTTTTCTCTATTGTGTGTACTGTCTGGATAAGTAGAAGCATTTTCTTAGGTGCCTGCGACTTCTATTTATCCAGACTCGACTGTATATCTGAAGCTAGAGGACTGTCATGTATGGTGGTCTACAAACACAAAATTTATTTATTACACAATTTATTTACAAAAATATACACACACAAAAATTTATATATATATATATAAAACGTAGGGTTTCCTTTGGTCTTCCACAGATCTTTTCCCTGTGGTGTCCAAATGAGGGGCTTGACAAGTTTCTAAACCCTGCAATATGCCCACATTGAAAAGTTACATGCCTAGCATTTGTACAGATGTGCAAACAATCCTTTAGGATTTCCGGTACATGCCTAGCAAGGATGTGCAAACAATCCTTTAGGATTTCTGGTACATGCCTAGCATATGTAATTGCTGTAGACATCACCCACCTCCGTCATCCCTCTGGTCAGCCTTCTCTTTCCAGTTGGTGACACCAAGTGTATGCAGGTCTGTCTGGACATTATCGCTCCATTTTCTTCTTGGTCTGCCACATGGCCTACGACCATTCATCTCCCTTGTGTATACAGTTTTTACTTCTCTGTCATCTGACGTTCTTTCGATATGCCCCAACCGTTTCAGTCTATTAGCTCTCATGATGCCAGTGATCAAAGGTTATGAATTTTGCTATTGGTTCTCACTCTCCATTCCCAGCTGTTTGCATCTTTGATAGGTATCACTAGAACTGGAAACACGATAACAGAGAAAAGGCTGGATGGCTTAGCTTAATGTGGTGGCATTTGTGAAAAAAGCGACAGTCAAGGAAGGACAGACATCCCTGACAAGGCATAAATATCTGCATTATCTGGCAAAAATCAGCGGTATATTAACAGGGTGAAGTCTGAGACGGCTCTTGTCCACCAGTCAGATGTTGTGGTCATGTTGGTCCTCTGCCTTGCTTGAGCGCCCGGTACATCTCTATTTCACTGGGGAAGACTTTGCTCAGCTCAACCAATAGCAATGCTTTGAATCTCTGCAAATGTGAGAGTAAAGAAAACGTTACATTAAGTAAACGAAAATACAATGTTGAATCTATATGTATTTCACCTACATGTGCCCTGCCAGCTGGCTTGTGTGCTCACGCATCTCCAAAGATCACAATCCCCGGTTGCCTGGAAAAACACTCTTGATGATATCCCTCCATGCCATCGTTTCAGCCCATCCAGCTTTATCTCTCTTTGTCTGCCTCTACCACCTTTTCCACTGATCTTTTCAGCTGTCACAATGTTCTCCAAAGTCTCTCTTCTCATTATGTGGCCAAAGAAGTGTTTTGTCTCTTTCTTACTGTTGTATATAGAGATCTCCCATTAGCTTCTTTCTAGCAACCGTAAGTAACTCTGGCCGTCCAAGGTATTCGTAACATTCATCTCAGAATGTATTTGTACATACATTTTCAAAACAAGACAGAAATGGACTGCCAATCTTCTTTCAATGCTCCCCAGCTGATAACCACGGTGGGTAATTTCAGCATAAATCCCAGCACGGCTGTCTACAAACACACAATGTCAACAACTTCTGATAGCTGCCCATGCAATTTAAGCCCAAACAGAATAAAGTGCCTGGCAACATAAACATTATAATACATGATGGACACTACAAATACCATGTAACAGCTCTTGTTGACTGTCAGTGCATCTAGTCTAGCAGCAAACTGCCTTTATTCTACCACTTTTGCAGTCGGGGAGGGGGGGGGGGGTTTGAGCCTGAGGATTTACAGCCACATGGTTAGTGCTGTCGCTGTGACTGTGCAGGTGAGGTTTTTATTTCGCCCTTAAAAGAAGAAAAATGTCCAGGCTTACCAAGGATTCGAACCTGGGCTTTCTGCTTGAGAACCTAGTGTTATAACTAATTGGCCAGCCGCTCCTAACCCACAACAGCACAGGATAAATATAAGACAAATGAGCTCAAAAAATCTACTTTTAAAATTCTTTTTCTTCATATTCACTGGCTATAAACTAAACTCTGGCGAAAAGTTATCAGTGTTCAACCACGATGAAGGCTCAATGGCGCAACGTTCACGTTTTGTTTGTATCTGTTATATTGTGAAGCTTGCTAATATACTTTTCGTTCGGGTATATATCTTTTCTCAACCACTTCTGTGCTCGTCTTGTTCCAGAACTTAGATTTTTCGTGCACATCCGTTTTTACAGGTTTGCCTTATCTGTATGCAGACTGCTGGTTCCTTGCCTTTTAGACAGACTGCACTCTGACTTCAAAGGAAAACACCAATTCAGTCACCTTTTATAACGTGCCTTCAGGGGGCAGTAGGTCTATTCTTCTCCCCCAAAATGAAGTCTCGGAACCTGTACCAGGATGGTGAATGTTGAATTGAGAATCAACATCCCAACACTCGGGACACTCCCGTAAGCACATCTGTTTTTCTCTTGAGTGACGAGCATCGTTCAGATCCCCTGGTAACTTCTGGCAGCACCATTAAACACACACACACTGGGATGAATGAAATTAAAAAGCAAATTTTCAACCCTCACCTTTAAACTGTCCGTCTTGCCTTTGACATGCTCGTTTTTAGCCAGGGCCTTCTCTAAGCAGTCCTTGGTGTACAGATTTGGATTTCTGCCTTGATCAATGTAACTAGAAATATTCAACAATCAGTGTGGGACACATGAGAGGGTGGAAAGTAAAGCTTTAAAAAAATGTTTCATGTTTTTCTTACTATATTCTAAAGCAAGGCTTTTCAACTAAGTTTACTCACGGGCCAACATTTTGAAAAGGGAATCGTCCGAGCCAAAGCAAAGAAAGATCCTTAACACAATACAACTAGGAATGATCTGCAGGCCACTTGAACAGCCCTGTTCGAAACTAATGAATCTTCTAAACGTTCACTGATCATAAACTCGAATGGAAAGTACTGGTTGTTTGTCCACTTCTGGATAAGACATTATAGAACTTGAGTTTTGTGCGCACACCCACATCTATTCTACAAATTTGGCTCATTTGTAAAAACTGCTGGTTCATTACTCCTCAGGCAGACGACTGACTTCAAGGAAAACCCCCCCCTAATTGGTTGCTAGATCGATATGCCTGTTAGGGCGGGACTGCCCCAAAATAGTGACCCAGCAGGCACACAGGAAGAACTAATAAATCAATAAAGACATGGTCAGGACCGCTTAAGGCGATCTCGGATGCAGCAGATTTCTTTTGAGAAAAACAATTTGTTTATCCTCAACAATTTTACTTCCTTAAATTCTTATTCGGATAAGTGTTATTTTATGGTGCAGTAACAAATAAAAACAAAACAATGTAAACAAAATTTGGAACTCAAATTACAGTTTTAGAACCAAGGTACATATTTTCAATTCTAATGTTACTGAAATTTTTAACAAATGCCAGTAAAGCAAGAAAATTGTTGAAGACATGGAAAGAAAGTTGAATACATCTGAAAAGAAATACCTGAGGAAAATGATGAACATGTTATGGAACAAATTCAAGATGGTTTAAAAAATAAGAGCAAAGTCTGGGCAACTCCAAGTTTTAACAATTATAAGACAGACAAGATAGCGTGACATATCTGACACAATCTGAGAAAAGACTAACAGAGAATCAGGAAACAACATTCAAGAGACACCCAATGGTGAACATCTATTTTACTGGCTTATTTGTATGCAGCAGGTTGTTCCTTCGGGCAAATGCACTCCACTTCGAAGGAAGCTCCCAATTAGTTCACTCCTACAACTTATATTTTTTTGGCCCACAACCCACACGTGTTCTTGCTAAGGCTGACTACCAATTACCTTCTGTGCCATTCTATGAATCCGTTCAGAATTTTCTCCCAACCTCTAACACACTGGATCTTCTCGGACAACAACTCAACTTACTCAAAAACTTCCAGCGGCACATGAACATCTTGGATCTGGGTCCTCAGTTTGTCGATCTCGTTCATCTCTGTCACCATCATCTGTCTGGAATTAGGAAAAAAAAGGACATTTTGAAATCTATGTTCAAAAGGAAACAGCAGTTTATACCGTGTCTCTTCGTCTTCATCAACTCAAACAAATGTATGGTCAGTAGAGGAAAGTCGCCGTGGTGTAGCGGCTAGACGCTTGCCTGGGGATCAGAAGGTCATAGGTTCACTCCCTGGCGGAGCCAGACTTTTTTCCAAAATGACCTTGGCTTCCAGGTCGACCTAGCCTTGAGTGGGTAGCAGATACATCACCCATCTTGCGCCGTTGGTCTATCAAATAGAGGTCTAGCCCTATAGACCTAATATGCCTGAAAGGTGTGGAAAGGGTTCTTTACTTTACTTATGGTCAGTAGAGAAAAGATCAAAACAACAGAAACGTCAATGACTAATCCTAAATATAACTAGAAGAGACAGGATCAGAAATGTTGTTTCTGTTGTGTATTTTCACCGGCTTTAAACCCTGGCGGAAAGATCTGGTTGCATTTCTAAACTTCAGCGCGGTTCAAGGCCGAGTTTTTCATGTGCATCCGTTTCAGATTTTGCTTATATGTATGCAGACCGTTGGGTCCTTGCCTCTCAGGCAGACGCCCTCCGACTTGAAAGGAAAATCCCCTCCCCCCATAATTAGTTGCCTCCTACGACATTATTGGGGAGGCAGATGGTCTATTCTTGTTTTCCCCGGTGCCTTGGAAGCAGTACTAAACTGCATCAAGAAATAGATCAAAATTCAACTGGTTTGGAAATGTGTCGTCAATGCTACCAACAGATAGTGCATCAAAAAAAAAAACCCTGTCAGACACAACAGAAGCAGTAACAGAGGTTGACCACACAAGCAGTGGATAGATGGAATATCCAAAGCCTGGATAGACAAAATTTCAGAGGCTGTAAATACAAGCATCTACGTAGCACATACCAAGGCTCAGAATCAATTGTTCATTAAAACCTGACACTAAAAGCAGAAAGGGACCGGAGAAGTAAAGAAAAGGACAATTTTTGTCTGCCTGTGATGGCTCGTGTCTGCCCAATCATGCTTTAAATAAGTGCTTGTTCAAAGTTAAACTCCTTTATAACCAATATAAATAACATATTATTTTATAAACATTTAATATCTTTTATTCAGATAAGATGCAGCACTGTGAGCACACACTACAGATGTCAGATATAAAAAATATATACATACACACACGGAACATAATAATACTTGTGTTGTTTCTTTAACTGTGCTTTTCATGTCTTTTTATAATGTCCTGGGTCCACATTTACATAGCTATAATACTTACATGTTTAAAACAAAATTCATTCATGACTTATACTAACTTACCGAGAATCAGATTTCATTTTAATAAAAATAAATCAGAAGCTAATTATTATTTTATTATTAATATCAATTAGTGTGAATTATGAACACAGTAGTGTCAGCAGTACCCACTCCCAGTACACAAAGTCAAACAAAAGAAGTAAGAAGGATGTGAACGAATATTATAATAATACAATTACAATTCACTGGCATTATAGGGAGAAATTGCGTGGTGCCGTAGTTTTCATATCTCGAAGTAGCCCAAAAACGCAAACCATGCTCCAGTACAGAGGACTCAGAGGTGTTGATTCACCCGCTTGCCTTGGACTTGTGTCGCAGGAGAAAGAACAGAAACACAACAAACTGGCTAAAAAAAATAAGACAAGAGATGCTTAAAACTTATAGTATAAAACTTACATTTTTTGATTGAGAACATTTTGACCCTGCGGCTGAAAATCGCTGACAATGATGCCCATTTGCCTGGTATTCTCAATGAACAACTCCAACTGTTGTTCCAACGCCTCGAACTTCTCCGCCATTTTCCTCTTGCAGTGTCAGAGCTGCGACTTCCGGCGCGGCAGTCACGGATAACGTTTGACTGGGAACCAGTGTTGCCACTTTTCTTTGACAAAAAATATCTACAACGGTGTCAAAAAATATCTAAAAAGATCTAAATCTGCGTGGAAAAGATCTAGAAAAAACATCCAAATTGAAAAAGTCAAAAATTACATAGCTTTTGTTATGACTTACCCTACATAATCATGTCCTCACCTTCACTGATGTCTGCCTTACAAGATCCACAGGATAAACTTAGCTTGGATAATGAAGTTGAAGCTTCAGATCCAAAATGACCCTGGTATGCTTTAGCTGTTCAAATTTCTATATAAGTGGAACAGTAGGCTTATTTCTCTAGTCTCAACAGGCCGAATTTTAATGGCACAATAGCATTTAAGAGGTCAAATTCCATCCTGTTTTTTAGGTTAGATTTGATATAATTCCTAGCACTGAAAACGCTTTCTACGTCAGCATTTGAATGGGGTAGTATCATGGCAGACATGGCACTTTAAAGAGCTTACAGAATGGACTGTTTGATGAGGCATCTTTAAATTGCCTCACTTCACTCCAAAACGCTTTAGTTTCTGTTTTGTTTGTCCATTCAGCTAACTTTATTTTGGTTAACTGATATTCTGCTTCCGCGACACTATTATCAGTAGCCCCTAAAAATTTCATAACTTTACAATATTTAGGTTTTACCAACAAAGTGTTCGACCACATCTTAAATACGGATCAACAGCATGGAGTTCGGCTTCAAAAACCACATTGCAAGAATTAGACAAAGTGCAAAATCAAGCACTCAGAGTTACCACAGGCAGTATGAAATCAACACCTATAGCTGTGATGGAGAAAATGGGGATGACCCAAGCACTAAGTGAACGCAGAGACACCAAGATGCTTTTACAAGCAGAAAAGTTTCTTAGTATGCCCAGTCACCCTATGAATGAAAGATTCAAAAATTTAACTTTGGGACGACTAAAGAGAAGTAGTTTTATCCACCAGGCCAAACGGCTCGGCAGACAAACCACTGATCTACCTGCAACTGATAGATCCTTAAATGCTGTCCCAGAACGGACCCCCTGGAGAGAGAAGTATAAGTTTCCAATACACATCAAGACTGAAGTGAAAGGGGTATTTGACAAGGAAGAACAAAACAGTGTGCAGCGCAAAAAAGCCACCCTCAGTTTACTTGATAATGAATACCCGCAGAACCTTTGGGTCCGTGTTTACACAGATGGGTCAGCAGAAAGCGCAGTCAGAAACGGAGGTGCGGGAGTGTACATTGAGTATCCTAATAATACCAGGGATACAGCCAAATTACCAACGGGAAAGCACTGTCACAACTATGATGCAGAAGTTCAAGCCATCAAGATAGCGGTAGAGAAACTACTAAATACAGGGTATTTTTCACAACCAGTGGTATTCCTGACAGATGCAAAAAGCAGTACTTCAGTCACTCCAGTCTGGAAAATTACCAAGCATACGGACACTATTATCCGAACTAGGCAACCGCTGTAAATTAGTAATGCAGTGGATACCTTCCCACTGTGGAGTTCCCGGAAACGAAAAAGCTGATAAACTAGCTAAGGAAGGTGCAACTGAAGAACAACCTGACATACCAGTCTCTTATCAACAGAAGAAGAGAATGATCAAATCAATCAGAATGCCACCGAAACTGGCACAAGATGATTACCATATTATGGACAGACCAGAGCAAGTTATTATCCTTCGCCTTAGAACAGGGCACAATAGACTTCGCTCCCACATGTACAACAAATTTAAGATTGGCCAATCGGCCATGTGTACTTGTGGACTGGCACCTGAAACAACAGATCACATCCTTCAAGACTGTCCCATATTCAACGCTTTCAGGCAAAACATTCATTTATCAGTAAAGTTCTGAAAACAGATGTCAGCGGTGTAATATCTTTAAATGAAACTGCAGTTTTATGCTTTTTTAGTCTCTGCATGACTCTTTGAGTTTTGTATTTTCGCTTTAATTTCACACTTGCAGTATTTACAACAAGCTTTGGTCATATCTCCAGTTTTTAATTTTGTTATCATGCACCCACTCTTTCAAAATTTTTTGCTCATACTTTACTTTTGGCATTTTGAAAGGTTTTATCAAAGTGAAAGCCACATATGAAGGTGAGCAATTAATTTTTTTAAATCACATGAAAAGAAACGCAAAATCAGCACAGTGAGGATACGGTTAAAACAAAGTTAGTATGATTTACGCGCGTTTTTATTAATCAGTACCGGGGCTGCCAGATGTTTGTGCGTTGACCCCAGTGAGAGTTCAAAGTTCAAGTAATGGCAGTTGTCACATTGCACGTGCCAGACCAAAACAAAAATATTGTAGTAAATATTTTACACAGTAATTATTAAATGACAATGAAAGAAAAAAAATCTTTAAAATATCTAACTCCACATGAAAAGTTTCTAGAAAAATATTTAAGATCTAAACGTCAAAAACAGTATCTAAATGCAATGAAAAAGATCTAAATTTGGATATAAAAGATCCAAAGTGGCAACACTGCTGGGAACTCACCCTCTCCCTCCGCTCTCTGTTTCTCTCTCTCTCTTTCTTTCTCCCCTCCCTCCCTGGTGTTGGTGCCGGGGTCATCTCTTTAGAACAGGGCTTTTCAACTGCGAGTAAAATTTGGCCTGCGGAGATCTATCAAGTGACTCCCGATTATTGCCAGTTGTCTTGAAGATCTACAGTCTGGACTTCTTCATGTTAGCAGAACCCAGCTAGAAAGACTGGACTGGGTACAAAATGAGGCCATAAGACATACTCAGTTGCGCAAAAGGCATCTCGTGCTACTCCGTTCGATATGCCCTGCGCTTCCAAAGACGCTCCTACTGGATGTCCCAAGCAGACAATCTAACTCAGCAAGTATGTGACCTAGACGAGATCAGTCACGAAAAAGAATGGGCGGATACACCAGTAGGCATGCATGACTTGTCTAAGGTTGCCATAACACTGGGAAGATGCTGCAGGAGTCAGATACTTGCCATCGTAGACGCCGAGATTAGGGCACTGACTGATCAGCATTAAGTCCCAGAAGACGTCGCCATTTACACGGATGGGTCAGTGAAGCGCGGGTTAGGGGCATACACAGCGCAAAGGTTGAGAAAAAACAATAAAAGAGGAAAGCAGCGCTTGCAGAGAACTACGTCAAGCATGACCGTGGAGATAACTGCTGCTTCCAGAGCACTCGCATGGGTATCAGAACAAGCGGCCACACGTGCGGTAATCATTTCAGATTCCATGGACATGCTTCAGAAAATCGCAACAGATAGTCTACGTTCTGAATAAGTAAAGATTTGAAAGTCGCAGGTAACCTTCAGCATCTGGATCTTCAACCTAAGTATCATTATCATCATCAGTTTTTGTGAAAACAAAACAAAAATCTTTACGTTCAAGCAAAGACTTCCGAAAAGGGAGCTTTGGGTTATATTTGTGACAGACACACCTGGGAATACAGGAGTAAATGGTAATGAAAGAGTTGACCAGCTGGCAAGTAATGCACCAACGCCAACGGGAAGAAGCACAAACAGGACTGATATCATCAACGCTGTAAGACTAGGCTGGGGGAATAACGTTTAATCTTCGACGCTAAGACGATAGCGTCACCGAGGAGTTAAGCTTGGCGAAGCACGTCTGTGCCGTCTTCGAGGTTAGGGCAGGAGAAACTAACCAACTTCTTACGGAAACATTAGAAGGGGTATCTTGTAGTGGCTGCTGCATCGGAGGACTAGGCACGCCCCAATTTGGGAGGCAACATTTTTGTTTTGTTTTTGGTTTCGTTATTGTAAAGTCCCACCCCAGTTGTCGCCGCGGGCCATAAATATAATCTAATTGTTTGAACGGGATTTCTGGGACTTGCGCCCGGGCGATTCTCATACGAATGGTGGCACTTTGTGTCACTGAGTGTCTATCGCCCTGTGTCCGGTCCTAGCTGGGCCCACGTCAGTCAGCAAATTACCTGTACGGTGTTCGTACCTATAGCCCCCTTCCTTCCTCCCCCAGCCCGCAGTGATAAAATCGAAAGTACGACTGCCAGGCTGTTGTAGTTTGTATGGCTGAGTTTGTCAACTCCATTGGGTCTGGATTACTGACTCACTGTCACATCTCTGTCCTTCTGTGTCTGCTCAAACATTAATGCCAACGACAAGTTCTCAGTTAGCACACACCACTGAGACTGTAATAATATAAAGAATTTATTGTTTCAATAATCGGAATCGCGATTTGCATTCGTTAGGGTTAGTAAGGTAGGTTAGCTGATTTTTTATTTACTTTGCTTCACTTTACAGTTCGTTGATTTAATTTAATTTACTCATTTAGATTTAGTTTAAAATAATGCAAACACAAACTAAACTAGCACACTGCACAGTTTATTGCCCGGCATATTTCGCTGTAATCTGGTCAGGTAAATTATTGCCAGAGTAGCACTAGTAGTAGTACTGATAGTAAGTAGTAGTAGTAGTAATTGTAATTTAAAGTAACTTAGACCACAATATCCTGTTCAACCCATCAGGGTTATAATTAGGATCTATAGTTTTTTTTTTTTTTTTTACTTATTATGTTTGGCTCTGCGCTTTTGCAAAGGTTATATATTAATTCATTGTATAAGATTGTTGGAATATAGATTGATTGTCACATCCAATATATTTTTTAATGAATAAATGCAAATGCAGAAGAAGATATATATTTTTAATGTACATTTAAACAGTTATAGTAATTATATATCGAAGTCTGTCTGTGTGGATAATTAAAGTTATCTGCTGTAATATATTCTGTCTTAGGATATATTGACATCCCCGTTCGTGTGGTGTAATGTTTAATCTTTCCTGTACCCCCCCCCCCCCCCCAAGTTAGTCGATTCTTAAAATATGCTTGTTGGGGGGGCAGTAAGTTTATTCTTGTTTTCGTCACAATGTGACACCAGAACCCACACAGGGTCAAAATGTTAGTGTC